ATTGCTTAATTGTTAGCCAACTTATTTTATTGTTTGTATATCAAAATTTAATATTGTTATTATAAAATATTATTTTAAAACTTTACTACATACTTCGTATTTAAGATTCTTTGGAAAAAAGTGTTATGATATGTGTTGCAATGTAAGAAAATATTAATTCTTTGCATTCTTTGCACTATAAAATTACATATTTTGTATGTCATAAATAGTTCAAGATTACAAAATAGTGAATTAAATTTTGTGTGTCTCTACATCATCTTTTTCCATATCCTTAAATGGGACTTTACATGGGTGGTTTGAAGGAAAGAGGGGCCTTAGACAAGGGGACCCTATGTCCCCATTGCTCTTTGTTTTATGTTTGGAGTACTTCTCAAGGATGATTACTATTAGGACTTCCCATCCTACTTTCCGTTATCATCCTTTGTGCTCTAAACTGAAGATTACACACTTGGCCTTTGCGGATGATTTGATGTTATTCTCTAAAGGAGACTTTTCATCTATTAAGATATTAGTGGACGCTTTAAAGAACTATGGGCTGGTCTCGGGCCTAATGGTGAATCAGGATAAATCTAATATCTTTCTAGGTGGAAATGTAGCTAACAGAACATCAGACATTATGCAAATGGTACAGTTCTAACAAGGAACATTTCCTGTTAGGTATTTGGGTATACCTTTGGCCCCTTTAAAGGTATCTGTAGCCCAATTCTCTCCTCTGATAGATACGGTTACAGATTATATACAAGCATGGAATACCAAAACTTTATCCTATGCAGGGAAAGTTGAGCTAATTAGATCAGTTATGCAGGGGGTACAATCCTTTTGGCTTGGGATTTTTCCTATACCAAGGGCTGTCTTGGATAGAATTGTGTCAATTTGTAGGATTTTCCTTTGGGGTGAAAACATAGTAAAGTTGCATGGGAGGATGTTTGTCTACCCAAAGAGGAAGGGGGGTTGGGCATTAGAAATACTAAGGTGTGGAACAATGCTTTACTTTCCCGTACCCTTTGGAATATTCATGCAAAACAGGACTCACTTTGGGTAAAATGGGTTAATGGGGTTTATCTTCATGGTAGGGATGTGTGGACTTTTGTTCCACACACAAGGGACTCTCTGTTAATGAAGAGGATTGGGCTGATCTGGGATATGATTCTGGCCAAATTCCCTACCACGGATGCGGCCGTAACATACCTTACCAAGATCTCGTTTTCTGGAAAACTTTCGTCATCGAAAGTATATGATTTGTTTAGAGTAAAAGGGCCTACCCTACCGTGGATGGCCTTTATATGGAAGTCCTATATCCCTCCGAAATACTCATTCATTACGTGGTTAACGTTTAGGAATAGGCTGTCCACGTTGGATAGATTGGATTTTCTTGATCTAGTAAATTTATGTCCTTATTGTAAGTGTGATCCGGAAACGACATCACACCTATTTTTTGAGTGTCATGTTACAGGACAGGTTTGGTGCAAAGTGAAGGACTGGCTTGGAATTCGTAGACAAATGACAACAATCACAAGTGCGGTGAAATGGATCAAGAAGGAGCATCGGGGAGCACATGTCAAAGCTAAAGCTGTGAGGATATCATTTTGCTATACTATCTACTGGATATGGAGAACTAGAAACTCCATCTGTTTTGAAGCTATGAAGCCTACTATGACTGATATGGTTGCTCATATCAAGTATATGGTGTATAAAGTTTTGTTTTCAATGTATCCGCTTGATAGGATGACATTTTGATTTTTTGCCTACTCATCACCATTTTTTTGCGATGGCTAGCTTATAAAATAGCTACATAGCTAGGTATTTTGTTGTTTTGGGAAGGTGATGAGGCATCCTTACTTGGGATGGCCATGACGATATATGTTGGATGTATTGCACATATGATGTACATAAACACTTTGTATATATATATTTACAGTTTATCCAAAAAAAGACAGTCCCACTCTCTATCTGTCAAATTGTGATTAGAGTCCAATTTACATCCTCCCATCGTGCCGTCCGGTCGGTGTTGGGGCTCTCAGGGATGGGGTGTCATCCTTTTTTATATATTGAAACTAGTTTTTGCAACGCGCGTTGCGCGATTGACTAAATGCCCAATGTGATTTAATTGAACACTTTCTTCAAGTAATTATTCACTGATTGGTAACTTCATGTGATTGGAATGTTAATTAAAAGTTACAACACACACAAATAAATATTAAGAAAATAAAATTAAGGAAATTGTATCCTTGGGATACAATTTTGTTACAATCATCATCCATTAATTAAAAGTTACGACACACACAAATGAATATAAAAAACGCATCATCCGTTTTTTGTTACAATTTTACCATGTTGCTACAAATTGATATTCCACGAAGATAATATCTTTTTGGAAAAATTGACAAGAATAATCTCACCTTTCACTGGTCTTCTCATAATAATCCCACCTTTAAATAATCCCAAAATAATCCCACCTTTGCACCTCATCTTCTTTCATTGGACCCTGACCAAGTTTTTTACCTTTTAAAAAAATCTTATATAAATAATCTCACATTTATAAGGATATAATTAAAAAGTGAAAGGTGAGATTATTTGTATAATTTTCAAAGGAAACCGGGAACTATTTTGCGGGACGGGGGGAGAATTGAATTAGTCTTCCATATTCAAGTATAGTAAACAAGAGAGAGAAGCAGGATCATGAAATTGTTTTTGCATTCCTGAATGTTAAGACATTGGGTTCCATCCTAAAAGGTCAACCTGTTAGGAGGAGTAGCCCATGTGTTAATATAGTACTTCATTCATCCAAACTTTTCCGGTGTGGGACATTTAACACCTCTCTTCACGACCAGACACTTCGTTTGGATTGTGCCATCATTCATTTTTTTCATTGGCCCGTTTGTTTTTTCATCTGGCCATAATTGTCATTTTTTTATAATCGTGTCATCACGATTCATAAGGGGCCCCACACCATGGATCGATTTGGCTCTGATACCATGTTAAGACCCGAGGTTCCATCCTAAAAGGTCAACCTGTTAGGAGGAGTAGCTCATGTGTTAATATAGTACTTCAAAGCACGAAGGACGACCCTCTCACGAACTGATGATGACGATTCCAACATAACTCAACAACATGAGAGCTGACGAAGGACCTCATGAAGTAAGGAGTGATATATCCCGAAACATGACTGGCCAATGGAAAAGTTATTTTGATCTAATAAATAAGTGTAAGATGCAATCTTTCAATGGAAAACACTCAGGTAATATTACTAAAATTGATTGGATTTTGGATTCTGGAGCATCTTATCACATGACTAGATGTCAAGAGGTGATATTATCAAAACAACCTATTACGCCAATTAGTGTCACTCTCCCAAATGGTGTTGTTATGTTTGCTATATGCTCAGGAGAAGTGCAATTGAGCTCTAAAGTTGAATTAAAAAATGTTTTATATGTATCTGGCCTTTCATGTAACCTTATTTCAATAGGACGATTAATTGATGATCGGAAATGCGACATAATTTTTACTGACGAGATATGTGTGATACAAGACTCACTTGGGAAGACGCCGATTGGAGTGGGAAGACAACGCGGAGGGGTGTACTACTTTTACAGTGTGGGACATTTAACACTTAACCTTGAGGGAGGCACATTTACTCTTCCATTTTAAGCTTTCACAATCCTTCATCAGTAATATTTTCAAGTCAATATGTGAGTAATACAATCACTATTTCATCATTACATTTACATAAATAGTTGGAACAAATTAAATACCTATGTGGGTGGGTGTGATTTAGAAAACAAAGAGTGAAGAGGAGGGTTACTTGTTACTTTTTCCAAACAGATAGTTTGAGATTCAAAAAAACTACTCCGTATTTCATTGGCCAATAGGCCCAATATTCAAATAAAGCTACAAAGAAAAAAACCATGGTAATTTCCTTATTATCTAGGTAATTCTTGATGGATCAACATGATAAAATACTCTCATTAAAATAGTTATATCAAAACAACATTGAGAATTATGTTCAATAAAAAACATAGAGAAATTAAATATCCTGGTTTTTTATAGAGATCTTTAAATTTAAATCCAAAATTTAAGAGCCTGTTTGGTAGCACGAAAATCAGAAGTTTTGGCTGATTCTGCTGAAATTATGAAGTTCTGGTTGAAGTGGCGGCATTGGCTGATTATGCTGATTTAAGAAAAAATTATTTTTAAAATATCTTTTATTAATAAAACAAAGAAAAAAGGGAAAATTGAAACTAATAATCCAACCTTTTAGCGGTCTTCTTACAATAGTCCCACCTTTTCGTTATTCATGAATAATCCAACTTTTGCACCTCATCTACATTCACTGGTCCCTGACCTGTTGATGACCTGCTATTATTCCAAGTTATTTCTTATCTTTGCAACCCATTATACCATATATCTCACCTTTCACAAAGATAAAATTTTGCAAAGATAAGAAAATAACTTGGAATAGCAGGTCATTAACCGGTCAGGGACCAGCGAATGAAGATGAGGTGCAAAGGTTGGATTATTCTTGAATAACAAAAAGGTGGGACTATTGTAACAAGACTGCTAAAAGGTTGGATTATTAGTTTCCATTTTCCCAAGAAAAAATTATATGTAAAAATGGCTAAAATGGTCATCTGCAATAACTTTAGCCAATACAGTCAGAAAAGTAACTTCAACCTTACTTTTTCAGCTTATTACACAATCCAGCGCGCGAAAGCAAATGTTACGTGCTTGGTGAAAAGCTGGCTGATAAGTCTGATAAACCGAAAAACAGTGTTGCAAAGGCCTCTAAATGTCCGGGTTTTATAGAGATCTTTAAAATTCAAAATTTAAGGCATGGAAGTGTGTTTTCTGAAACTAAGACTGAATACTCGGTAAGGGAAGTTCTTATGTTTTACATCGTAATATATAAGAATGGTTGAGGTCAAGAATCTTTTTTTTTTTTGGAAGAATAAAATCAATTATTATTAATCAAATCATTGTTTAATACATCAGATATAATAGATGGGGGAGTAGAAACCCAAACTCGACTTCCAGGCCAAGAACATGTTGCTCTAGCCACAACATGAGCTGCCCGATTCGCTAAACGTCTAACATGAGAACACGTAATACTAACAAAATTAGCCATCATCTCTCTTATATCTTCAGCCAAAACACTCGGATAAGAAAGCCCGGAGCCATTTTGAATTTCGTTAATTGCTAGAAGAGAATCAAACTCCACATCTACAAAATCCCAATGTTGTTCTTTGAGCCAGCTGAGCACCTCCCGCATGGCCATCAGTTCTGCCTCTAATGGAGTCATCTGGCCTATTCCCACAATGCCTCCACCTGCCACAAAATACCCATAACAGTCACGAGCAACCCAGCCAAAACCGCAGCTCTCTCCTCCGGTCGAGGCATCAACGTTAATTTTCCTCTGCCCTTCTACCGGTCGCTGCCACCTGTAATTAACCTCAACACTCTTTTACAGGAAAACAGCTCTGGCCGCTGCACTTTAGGCCATCCTTTCACAAAATTTCTGGTTTTCTCCATCACCTGCAACCGTTCCATGTGAGCCCAGTTCCAGACTCTTGGATTTCTTTCATTCCACAAACCCCAACACCTAAAAACGAACTTCTCAAGGTCCTCCGACTTTAGCGTTCTGAACACAATTTCAAGCCATTCCATAAAATTATGGGCTGATTGACCTACCCTCGTCCAGCTTGCTGCCCCCCAAGCTGCTTTCGCAAACCTGCAGTTAACAAACAAATGAAATGGCGATTGGCGTTTCATCTTCCTCTTCACCACATAGGCCGCATCTGATATCACAAGCTACTCCTCTGGACTTCAAGTTGTTCGTAGTAGAAAAACATCCACAGCACACCTGCCAGAAAAAAAAACTTAACTTTAGGATGTAAATTAAAGACCACATAGATGTCCAGCCCGTCCAACCGACCGTAGCCATTTCGCCAACAACCCTCCGATAGCAACTCTTGACTGTAAAGCGTCCACTTTCTTCCCCTGCCCATACCATTCTATTCGAAACCACCCTATTACTCAAGGAAATCCTTCTAATTAAATCAATATCTCTATTGTTAAAAATATCCCTTAAGATCAGATATCCTCATACCAACCATCTCCCGTTGAGTTCAATAATCCAGCCACCAAAGCTTTCTCCAAGCCTTGAATGCAGTCCGATGAAATTAAAGGATTAATTTTATCAGGTAGCCAAGGATCCCGCCATATATTAATAGATCTCCCATCGGTGACCCGCCATCTGACTCCCTTTCGTCAAGAATCTTAAACAAAGGCGGTAGGGAAAATAAAAATGAGAATAGTCTAAGAATGAATGCTAGGTAAAAAAGGTTTACAAGACTTAACAAAATAGAACCTGACAACCTAAATACAAAAGAGAAGCAAGAAAATCTAATTGAAGAGGCATGCAAATGTTAGCCTTTGTAGAAAATGATATCGTTCCAAATCTACCTCGCTCATGAGCCTGAAAGATCAGAGAACATTACAAACATTGACTACAAATATGTTGCCTTATTTTTTTTTATGATCCTAAAAAAGAAAAATAAACAAGCACAAACTAAGGACTACACATTCACACAATGTATGTCTCACTTATTTTCTAGTTAGAGTGAGTTATTAACTTTGACAATTAATAGATTGACAAAGCTTTGAGAACAATGATTTCTAGAGAAGTGAGACATATAATAGAAAATAAACAAGCACAAATTAAGATGACGTATATCTCTACAAAATGTAATTTCAAACCAGAATTTGCTGAATACTAAAGAGAAAAGCACTCCTTAAAACTTCAATTTTTTTGTATTACTTCAGCAAATAATACACAATAGCTCCTTTTTAGTAATTAAACACTCCAAAATTTTATTGGCCGATACTCAAAGAAAGGCTATAAAGGAAGAACATCTAAGCTCTTGATAATCAAGATAAGTCACTATTGATCAACACGTAAAATAGTCTTATCAAAATGCCTATATTAAAAACATAGTGAATGTTGTTGTTTTAATAGAAAGCATTCAAGATTGATGAGAGGAATCAATAATCTCGAGTTTATTGAATATACTAATTAGTATCACTTATTAAAAAGAATAGTTTTCTAATAAGTGTTTTTAATAAGGCTTAGATGTTGTTGTTGTTGTATAAAAAAAACTTCGTAATAAGTTAGCATTTGTAAATGTATCCCAAAATTACAAATGTATAGTACACTGGAGACGATGGCTTACTTGTGGCTTAGCTCAAGTAACTTAGTTAAACATGATATGTAAACATGTATTAAAAGAGAAGTTTAAAAAACACAAATTATAGAATACAACTTATTAGTTGATCAAAACTCAAAACAAATTAAAGTTGGGTAATCCCATATCAAGCCTCACTTATTCAGCAACACTAAATGACAGTAAAGTATTTTTTGTAGGTTTACTTTCTGAGCTTGTATATGAAATGTTGTTCTTAACCTCTCTTTGTAACAATTTGGAAATGCTGGGAAGAAAAGAGAGAAGTCGTTTGGAATTTTATTAATTCGGGACCTGAAAGATGGATGAATTATCAATTCGGGACCCGAAAGATGAAATGTATCAATATAGGACCTGAATAATGAAAAACTATCAATCTAGGACCTAACATTTCATAGGTTTTGATGTATTTAATTTTTTACTAACTCCATTGCTAATATTTGGTGAATTTTTCTTCACAAAAGTTTTTTAGTTTAAAAAAAAAAATATTATTTATTTTTGTTAAAATGAAAAAAGTAATAAAATTTATGAAAACTTAGGTCCTAAATTGATAGTTTCCTATCATTCGGGTCCTAGATTGATAGTTTTCCATCATTCGGATCCTATACTGATACATTTCATCTTTCGGGTCCCGGATTGATAATTCGTCTATCTTTCAGGTCCTGGATTGATAAAAATCCTTTAATCGTTTTTACAGTAAGATATTAACAGTGAATCATTTTTACGTTTCTTCTTATCAGAGAATTTTGCTAAGTTATTCAGCTTTCATATGACATCAACTAATATATTTGTTTAGAGATGGGGAGTTTCTAGCATGTGAAGCTACTACTAATTAAGAAAATAACCCAAGTGAAAACAAACTATGAATGCTTAAATATACAAATATCTTTCTTAAACAAACTATGAAGGCTTAAAGTATATGCTTTTAACAGAGTTAAAACAACCTAGATAAGTGAAGACATCCCAAACAATTAAAATAAACAAATCATCTCTTGTGGTCATTTTTCGCAGAACTAAGAAATTTAGCCAACCTCCAATGTTTGGCATTTCCCAGATTCAAGTGAAGTGACACAATGTTCATCACAGACTATATTGGATTCACTTTTAGAACTTTGTACACATAAGAAGCCAAGCAGCAGTAAATAGTATGAGTTTAGCTTGTTGTGATGTTTTATGTTTTATTGAGAATATCTATGTACTTCTCTTTAGTATATACTCCTACATTATTAGATCAATTTTAAACTTATCCCGTGCATAGCTTGAAAAGTAAAAAAAACTACAATGGATTTTATGATAAGCACAAAGACTCACACTTAGACAATTTCACAAACATGTGTGCTTCATAATACGGAGTATTAGACAATGAACCACAATAAATTTTGCATCCGTTTGTTATACTCCGTACAACACTTAAGCTATGTTATTCAAAAGATGGGTAAAACGAAGCAATAGACCAACGTAGATAACAACGAAACAAAGGAGCCATTTAATTGAAAATTGGAAGAAACCTAATCTTTCTTTAGTTGCTAGTCAAACCGAACAGTCTCATTCGTTAGGGGTGTCTCTTCTAGTGATAACATGAAAACAAAGAAAAACAAAGCTTAGAGAGAAACGCTAAAGAAGACGAAAGGATGCAAGCTAGAAGGGATGTGCGACGGGATGTCCTTGCGCGGCTAAAGACGAAGCCTGAGTCCCCGTTGCTGAACCGAACAGAATGTCCCTGTGCAGCTAAAGAGGAAGGGTCGAAGGGAGAAGAAAAACGTTCTGGGCCTTGGGAATGTTTAACAGAGACAAACGTCTCCCACGGAGATAAGCCAAAAAGAAGTTAAAGTTTACAAGCACCTGAACATGTTGTACATGTCAACTAAGCTTATAATACCACCAACAAATTTTTTTATGCCTATACTACCCTAACCTTTGAGGATTATTAGATTGTAGATGTAGAGATATAAAATATATGAGTAAAGGGTCAGTTTGGTCCTCGAAGTTGCAAAAAAGGGGTCAAATAAGTCCTTATATAGAAGATTCTGTCCGGATGTGCCATTTGAGGTGGCTCCCGAAAGAATTTTTCGATAAAATTTTGTGAGCATCTTATTCATTAAGTCTAGTTTACTCATACCAAATTTCAAATAAAAATTCAATCGGGAAGACATTCAAATGAATTCTTGAAGATAACTGCGCTTTTAACGGCACAGTTATCTTCAAGAATTCATTTGAATGTCTTCCCGATTGAATTTTTATTTGAAATTTGGTATGAATAAACTAGACTTAATGAATAAGATGCTCAAAAAATTTCATCAAAAAATTCCACCGGGAGCCATCTCAAATGGCACGTTCGAACAGAATTTTCTATATAAGGACTTATTTGACCCCTTTTTTGCAACTTCGAGGACCAAACTGACCCTTATCCCTAAAATATATTTACTGCTGAAGTGCATTTTATAAATTAAAATTTAAATGATTTAATCTTACCTACTCGATGAGTCGATGCTCACGGCCCTCTCTCACCTAGAACAACTTGAACACTCGAGGTTAAATTCTTCATAAGAATTTTGGTTGTTGGCATTCATCCTGATTCCTCTGACCCGCATCCCGACTCCAAAAAGCGTACAGCTTTCCTACTGACAAAGATTTCAATCAGCAGATGATCCATGGCGCTCTCCAGGCTTCGTCATCCCATTATCCGTCGAGCGCCTTCCCTCCTCAGAGCTCGCCTCCTTTCGTCTTCCAACTTCCGGTATCTCTCACTATACAATCTCCTCGCTCTCTCCCTCTCTGTACATGTACAGGTTTGGATCAAGGATTGAGTTTGCACTGAAAAATGAATGAATTTTGCTAAAAACTTGATTGCGAATTTGCAATGACTAAGGTTTTCAATGCCAGTAACCATTAACTGTATTTCATTTGCATTTGTAATGATTCTCATAGTCTATTTATTTGAGGACATTATAAAGCATATACTTCACAACTTAGAATTTGTAAAGATTAGCAGTTGTGGAGAACATAGGTCTCATATTCTAATTTCAATATTTTTATCAGGTGTTTTTTCGTTTATAATCAAAAGAAGATCTCTTACCAATCCTGATCGGTTTAGCCTATTGGTTTACTTCAATGAAGGAACTAAAAGAAGATTGTATGGCATTGATTTGAACTTCTACTTGTAAACAGGACATTAGGGACTTAGGGTCTAGTACCAAAGGTTAAATCTTTCAGCTAAAATGGTATTGGTGAGGTCAGCAAGGGAAGGGTGCTCAGTAACAATGGTGGGAGTATTACACTGATCACTTTAGTAATACAGGTTTCTCGGTAGTGTAAAATTTAGTGTTAGGGATTCGTGTGAAAATGTGACCAGGGAGGAATAAAAGTAGAGATTGAATCATCATTGTAAATGATAAAGGCATACGTAAAAGCTGAGATGCTAACTTGCAATCCTTGAACATTGGTGAACCACAACTTTTTTAGCCACAAACGAGAAGAAAATAATACCATCCATGATATCCTAGTCATTTCAGCTAATGTAGTCTTAGGCTCTTAGCAGTTTGGGAGCCTGGGTCTATTAATTTGACATCTTACGGTGACAGATCATAGACCATTCTCGTTTTTTAACCAGTTGCCAGATATGGGACATGAATTGCTAGTTCGTAGTAGATTTTATTAAATGTTAGTTCATCATCTTATAATGTTCATCACTTCATTGTGGTGTTCATAATGTAATTCTTATGCCAATGAAAGACATTTCCAACTAAACTGTGGATGTTTGTTTGTCCTGTTCTTTCTAAATATAGCAGTTCTGAGGTGCTAAATCATATTCCCGAAGTTACTTCCACAAGGTCTGCATACTGAAACTCTCTTTTTATTCTAAAAACTTTTTCTTTTTTATTTCTCTGATAGACTTTAATGTAGTTTGTTCAGTGCTAGATATTTATGTTTTAGATTAGGGGTTGTGTTCCTGTAGGGATAAGTGGGTAGTGGTGTCTGCATGCACCCACATGGTTGAGTTCATTTATGAACAGTCTTATTGTGTAAAGGTGAGAAAGAAAAACAGCTTCATGCAACACGCAGAAGTGCATCAACTATTAGCTTAATGTGCACTTTTATGTAAATGAACTTTTTTGTATTAAAATGTGCTCTTTGAAGTTCCATAGATTAGAGCAATTTCCATCCTTCAATGGAAGTCTATTCTAAATAACTCCATGCCTTGATATGAATGCTCAGGTTATTTTTCATTCCATACATTAACATTGATTTTCACATAATTTCATACATTCATGCATGCATGCAGCATGCATGTGTATAGTGTGGTACAACTGTACAACTATCTTGGTCTGTTATGCATACACATACTCACACACAGACACATCCCAATGTGTAAAAATATTTTCTTATGTGAACTTGATGAATGTGGGATAGTGCACTTTTACATTAATATACATTTGCAGTTTTGTGTAGTCAAATTATCAATTTCATGTAAAAATACCCGCCATGGTATTTTGAGCCATTTGATCACTTAATTTGTCCATTCCAGCTCTCATTATCACTTCTATGTAGTAAAATGTTCACTTTAATGTCAAAAAACTTCCGCCGTGGTTTTATCAGCCGATTGATCACTTTATCATTGGAAGAGGTTTATATTTGTTCACATTTCTCACATAACAAGCATTTTTATATGATTCACAACACGCACACACAACACGTGCACACACATAATTTCTACTAAACGAAAACTGGTAATAAATACTACATCCATCTCATTAAGCTTGGCATATGAGGTTGGACACAAATGTGAAGAAAAAGTAGAATTGTGTGGTTGACATTAAATTGGTATAAGTAAGAATGATTATGAGTCACAGAATAGCCAAATTTGGTATAAGACAAATTTTCTGCTATGACTGGAATTGGAAGGAGAAAGTATTCTTGTAATAGGAGGATAGCTGAAATACAGGCTGCATACATATGAATTTTGGTGTAATTTTTTTGTGGGTATGTAGTATTACTGAGGCATAATAATATACGTCAGTGAGAGGAAAGGATAAAGTGCTTCTTATCTCTATTAGTTAAGGTGTGTGTGCCTTTCAGTTTTACAAAGCTGAATCACTTAAATCTTGTTCGATGGAGTGGTCACTTGTTGATTCCATGTTGTTCCTCTTATTGTGAAAATTTTCAGGCCTATACATTTTCTTATGTTCAATGGAGTTGATCACAATTCATCCAAGTTAATGGTTAGAGTAAGGAACTTTTCTGTTTCCTCTCAATTTACATTCCTTCATCTTTTCTCTGATGAGTGATGCTATACTGCAGCTACCAAGTGGCGTCAGATGTTTCTCATCAGCGGGTAAGAAACACTCATATATGTCATACGTGATTATTTCTTGTGTTTGTTGTATTGTATTGATCACCGATTCTTGTGTTCTTACTATAACAACTAATTATAGATGGACACCTTTTTTGGTAAATTCATTTTCTTGGTTTTTTTACTATATAAAATTGCTAAAGACTTTGTTAGTGGCATCATAGACTTTTCAATTATTTCACATGTTTTCTTTTCACTTCATCTGCTTCCTTGTTCCCCGTCAACCTAGTGAGAAATAACTAAATAAGAATGGCCCACATAATTCTTTTCTCCTAACACATTTACCATAGGTATACTCATCTCATCTTTTAATCTGGATAAAGTTAGGGTAGCCTGGGTAGGCTACATGTATTCTCGTTTCTTCATTCTAAATGAATGGAATTGGTGAGTGTGATGGATGGACTGCTGCCTCACTCTCTTAAACATTGATCCTCACCTACATGTTTGGACCTTCTTAGTTTACCAGTTTACCACTTGCCAAATTTGGTGCCTCTAGTTATTCTATTCTTCTTGAACAATGCGTCAATTTCCTGGTGTTTTGATACTGTGATTTCGGCTTGTTGAATGCAACTCATGTTTCTGTGTCTCTATATGGTGCAGAAAATCCTCCCCATACTGTTTTAACAATGCCAGCTCTATCACCTACAATGGTAAGCTGCTTTATAGTGGCTTTGATCTCCTTAATGGAAACAATGTCATGCTTATTTTTCTCTTTGCAGAATCAAGGGAATATTGTCAAGTGGAGGAAGAAAGAAGGGGACAAGGTGTGTTTCTAATAGCTTAAGAGATTTCTTCCATGTCTCAACATTCTGTTTAATTATGATGCAATCTAACAGATAGAAGTGGGGGATGTCATGTGTGAGATAGAGACTGACAAGGCTACACTTGAGTTTGAAAGTCTTGAAGAAGGGTATGTGTTAGCAACCTATCGGAATGCATATCTACCTTCTGATATGTTTACTCATCACTAACTTATATCTAACACATACAATCGAATACAGTATCACTGTACATGCATACTGTTAGAAACATGTTCTCATTTATTTTCTACAATAAAAGTCATATACTTGTGCGCTTACTGATAGTTTTTGATACATTGATGCATTGTTCTTTCCAATGCTCCATGTGAAATGCTTCTATGTTGCATTTGCATACAGCATAAGACATAAAACATACATTCTCATTTCATACTGTGTACTTCTTGGATGCCTCATTGGAACTCTACAGATTTCTGGCAAAGATACTGATGCCTGAAGGAACAAAGGATGTGCATGTTGGTCAGCCCATAGCCATAACGGTAATGCTTGACAGTCTTCTTTTTTCATTTCTCTGTATTTATAGTTTCTTTAGCACTCCGCCTGACTTTATGTTTACAAACATCACAATTCTCTTTGATCTCTTCCATCAAAGAGAGTGGGGTTCCATCCCAAGTCAATGAAGTCATTAATTGGAGTTGAGCTATGATCACACTCTGAGAAGAAAATTAGAAACAGGAGACACTTCATTGGGTATTCTATGCATAATCAAATTCAAATAGTTACTGTGGGGTCTGCTAGCATCTGATTTTCCCAGATACTTTTGGTTATCCAGATACTGACTTAGCTTATTTATTAGGTTGAAGATGCAGATGATATACAGAAAGTACCTGCTACACTAAAAGGTGATTCAGAAGTTGGAGATACGGCATCTGGGCAACCAAAGGCCGATGCAGTTCCTGAATCAACTACTGCTAGCATTAACACATCTGACCTTCCTCCACATATTGTTCTTGAAATGCCAGCATTATCCCCAACCATGGTAAGAAAAACTATATGCCTATATGGGCATGGAGTTTAATTATGTCGTCATTATCTTTAATATTTTTGTACATCTGATGGGGATGGATCAGTTGATTTGTGAACCCGGATCTACCACCAAACCAATCTACATCCTAAAAGCTGATTTACTGCTGTTATATAGTCTCTTCTTTATATGTTGATGGCCATAATCATTTTCCATGAGTTCACCTTAATTGTAATTAAGTTGATGAAGGGGGAAGAAGATTAGTGGTATGAACTTATGAAGTTTCTAGTGTCAATTAGTTGTCTAAAATAGTTAACTATACAAATTCATGCAAAAAGCAAGTGACAGTTTTACGCCGGGTGCCTTTTCTGTAAAAACCTTCTTATGAATGAATAATGAGATGAAATCTCAAAACCGTCACCGCCAGAGGTTCTTTCCGCTTCCACAGAAATATTTTGAGACTGTGATGAGTGGAGATGGTTGCTATAATAATGTCCGATTGCATTATTGATTTTGTAAAATCAAGATAAACATCATGGAACATGACCAATTCTTCATAGAAAGCTAATTTTATTTTATTTTACTTGCAGAACCAAGGCAACATTGTTAAGTGGAGAAAACAGGAAGGAGAAAAGGTTGGTGCAAGATAGTGTTTGACTACTGGATCTAATATTTAGATGCATTCTGCTACCTGAAGTGGTGAGCATATTTAAATGCTTCTCTTGTACATTTATATCATAATAATCATTCACTTTCTCCTGTTGCAGATTGAGGTTGGTGATGTTCTATGTGAGATAGAAACTGACAAAGCAACCCTGGAATTTGAAAGCCTTGAAGAAGGGTAATTTTCCTAGCAAATTGTAGACAACATATAATTGAATGATTATATTCGTTGCAGAATTACCAAGTAATACCATATAACAGCCTTGTAATACCAATTTTTTTTTTCTGAGCAAAAGTAATACCAATGATTTTAGTCTTAACAGCATTGACTGTGCAGATTCTTAGCCAAAATATTGGCCCCGGAAGGCTCAAAAGATGTTTCTGTAGGGATGCCTATTGCAATAACAGTAAGTACTTATTGCTGACTCCCTATCTTCGACCAGAGAGAGGCAGCTGGAAGTAAGAGAGAGAGAATGTGTGAGACACGTGCTATTTTCATAACTAATGCCCTTCACGTTTTGAAGGTTGAGGATGCTGATGATATTGTAGCTGTGAAAGCATCATCAATCAGTGGCAATAAGGAGGTAAAGGAAGAGAAGCCTATCCATCAGGACTCTACAATTGAAGTTAGACAGCAGAAAAAGGGCTTCAACAGAATAAGTCCTGCTGCAAAGATGTTAATTTCAGAACACAGGTTAGATGCATCATCAATTCCAGCTTCTGGTCCTCGTGGGACTCTATTAAAAGGAGACGTTTTAGCTGCGATAAAGTCTGGAAAAGGATCTTCCCGGATTTCCTCTGTTAAAGCGGCAATGCCGTCATTACCTCAGACCCACCATCTTACTGCTTCACCAGAATCGCCAGGACAAAAATTTGATTTGAAGCAACCAGGTTCTTATGAAGATTTTCCTAACAGTCAGATTCGCAAGGTACTTTAATATATTTAATTAACTCTATACTTGCAATACTTTTCCTATACTACAAGTCTGTATCTGATTAATAATTATCAAAGTTTATTTTCTCTCATTGTTTGCATAGTGAGTTGTTCTTCTCTACAAAATGCCAATTTAAAGTATTAGAGGATTATTACATCATCTCCTGAAGACTTACTAACATCTTATTTGATATAAGACCATAGAATCAAGTAATGGAATCTGGATGTTACATAGTTTTAGAAATTTAGCAGGGTTGCAAAAGGTGTCTAGACTGCACGTAGCATCTAGACCGCCTAAACTGTCTAGCTGACCTTAAAAGTCATAACAGAATTGAAGAATATTCTATTTTGTAGTGACATTATACATTTTAAATAATTATAGAAAATTGAACTATGCAAGAGTTTAGTGATTATATAATACATATTGATAACATCAAATAAATAAGGAAACAAAACTAACAGTCTTAGAATTTTAGTTTTGGACTTCTAAGATGATTGAATTATCTAGATGCCAGATGAATTATCTATGGGATGGGATGATGACTGCATTCAATGATCCTAAAGGCTTTATAATAATTGACAAAAGGTGAACATATGATGTCAAGTTTTGGGGAATGGATTATGGTTTGTTTTGCTCGAACAGTATCATTTTAGCAGGAAAGTAACTTGCTGCCTATGTCCTTTGTGCTGACTGGGGACCAGTTAGCTGGCCATATAATATTACCCGATAATATATATTGTTTTTTTTTATCACAGGGTGTCTAGCACCTTGTTCAGTTTGCACAACACTAAAACTATAGTTGTGTGATAAGGTACTACTGGAGGGAAGATCATGTTTGTTTTACTTTCTTGTAAAGAAATGTTTTTATAGTGTAGTAGTGCAGTACCAGGATGGGGAACATGTTGATTTCGTTTGCTTGTAATTCATTAGATAGATAGCATGTGCTTTTTCATCACGGAATAGCCATAGGTGCCGCTTATAATCTCAGAAAATTTGAAATAGATCTTTTTTTGGATTGCAGGTGATAGCAGCAAGGCTGTTGGAATCAAAGCATTCCACACCTCATTTATATTTATCCACAGGTTTCACATTTTATTGAATTGTGCAAGTTTACAAAAAGTTCTTAACTTTGTGTAACAAATGCATGCTGGAAAATAATAAAAAAACCAAATAAAAGCAGTTGCTCCTTGAAGTTTTCTAAATCATCATTTTGCTTCTACCAGATGTTATATTGGATCCTCTTATTTTCTTCAGAAAGGAGCTTAAAGGTATATTTGTTGGCTACTTATCTACTACTACGCTTTTCACGTAACAATATTATATATTCTACATCATATTTTCTTCACTTTTTATTTCTGCAGAGAAGTATGATGCTAGAGTCTCAGTAAATGATATTGTCATTAAAGTTGTTGCTGTTGCTCTAAAAAAAGTTCCAGCTGCGAATGGTACTGTTGCTCTAAATTATTTAGTACGGAGTATTATTTTACTGATCAATCTGTTTTTCATTTAAAACTGTTTTGGATAGTTGTGGTAAACATAAACCTTCTGAGGTATTAAATGTGAACCTTATGATTCAATATTTGTAACTAATGAGTATGCAGAATGTGGATTGGGTTGGGTCATATTTTTAGGACAGATTTTAAGTAGCAATTTATCTTTAAATGGATCAATGATACAAGTGTTCTAAAAACTGCTAGGCAGCCCCTAGGCAGTAGACTAGGGCCAAGTGGGAGATAGTCTCTTTCATGTTTGTTTTAAATTGATCAAATGATAAGGCCTTTATATGAACTTCACTAACTGAAGTGGAAAGTGAAAGATGGTCAATCGAAATAGTGGGTTTGAGGTTTTTTTAGTTTTACATGTATATTGTTATGAGCGTGGTATCATCAGGCCTGATCCTGTCATTTTATAGGCCCTGTGCATAGTTAAAAGAAGGCCTTAACAAATGGATTAAGCGATATTTTAAACACATACTTTCTACGATTGCGGTGAAATAACTTTAAACCAGATACACAAGGTCCTATTTACATGTTTGTGTAAACATTAAATAATCAATTACCATCAAGATCAATTCTGTCTATTATATACTTCTGAAAAACAACAACATCAAGTCTTAGTCCCAAAAGATTTTGAGGTGGGCAAACATGAATCGATACATGATATTTGAGCCAAAAAGTAAAGAAAGATGAGAAAGAAAAATAAGGTAGGATAAAAGGATAAGATAGAGATAAAGATAAAAATAAATACCAGCTAAAGATAATAGAGATAAGATAAAAAGGGTAGAAATAATATATATAAAATAAAAAGGATAATGAACAATAATTTCCAGTTGTTTTCAATAATTTCCACGTGAATTAAGTTAACTATGATAATACATTTTATTCAAAGATGATTATCGAAACATAGGGTACTATCGTAATGTAATGACTAGAGTATTGTAAAACTACAAAAGTCATGAATAACAATAAGCTCTTATTTAAGCATTACCCAATAACTAGTCAATCTGTAATTTTTGAAAAGGTCATCAGTTCATTATTTGGTTAACTTCGAAGGATTGAGCGTACCCTCATCATTTGATTAACTGACAAAATGCCTAGATATAAATTTTAGCTTTGGTTCTGGAAACATAATTTCTCACTGAACATTTTACCATACAACAACATCCAATCCTTAGTCCCATAAGATTTTGGGGTCGGCTAACATGAATCGTTACACGATATCAGATCCAGAAGGAAAAGAAAAAGATAAAAAAATATGGTATGATAAAAAAGGATAAGACAGTAGAGATAAGATATACATAAAAATGATAAGAATGAACATTTTACCATAAACATAAGATATCTTAACTTATTTTTAAAAAATGGATCCCCAAATAATGTATCCCGTGGTATGTGCTAGCCTACCTTCCATCAGGGTTGCCCCTGCTATTATTAATATGTGAAAAGATACTGATAATCAAACAATTTCGAATTTTATGAGTCAATGTTGTCTTTGCATGTATCAAAGGATTGGTGGGTTAAATTGTATATATCATTATATCGTACTACGTATATGGTGCTATTCAAATACCACCTCTCACTAAACCTTCTTAGGTTATGGCCTCTAGAGTATGGACACTTGATTCTTGTTTGGTCTATAACTGGGGAGAGGGAGTGGAAGAAAACGGAGGAGTAAAAGACCGAAGTTTAGTTCAAAGTGGAGTAGAGAGGAAATATCATTTCAGAAAAAAATATTAGAATGTTACATTTGGTATAATTTTTTTTTTGTAAATAAGAATGTGTTAATCTTTATGGATAACAATAAGTGATGATGGACTCACTCCTAGCTCCCCAACCAAACTCACAACACTGCTGCACTATACTCTTAAAGTATTCCAACCTAACAAGGGTTGCTATCTTTACATTGCATTGCATATATATACTCTGCTGATGTTGACTTCGCCTGAAAATTAACATTTACATTGCAGCATACTGGGATGACGTAAAAGGTGAGGTGGTGTCATGTGACTCGGTTGACATATCTATTGCAGTTGCTACTGAAAAGGTCACTAAATTAATATTATTTGCTGCAATTTATTTTCTTTACCAATGGCATTGCTCATATTATGTAATTTATTGTTATTTCCTACTTTGTCTTCCAGGGATTGATGACTCCTATTATTAGGAATGCAGATCAGAAATCGATATCTTCTATATCCTTAGAGGTAGTGAGTAATAAAGAGCATAGCTTGAACTGCCATTTTTTCCTTTTTCTAACATGCTATTGAAGGATGCTTGGATGCAGCTATATCACTTTGATTGCTTATAAAAACTGTGATTTGAATGTATCTAGTAAACATTTTCTAATCTGTATTGTAAGAACTGAAATATTGGTGTCACGATAAAGTTGTTGCGGTGAAAGAACCAGGATACCCCTTTTTAGTTATTGGTGAAAGAACATAAAATTATTAAGTATTCTGCAATCGTGGTTCGTGAAAATTAATCAGTATCTTCAGAATTCAGAAACAATTAGTCAATTGCTCATGTCCCAAGAACAGTCATGTTTCAAGAACTGTATTTATTCCAAAAAGATAGTCCGCTTTTAAAAGTCAACATTAATTTTAAGTAAGATTTTTATGAAGCCGATCTTGGAGATAAGTTTAGGGGTTTAGCAAGCATTAATAACTTTTTAAATATTGTACCTTGATTGGGTTGATTAAAAATAAAACATTATACTTCAGTACTTCACTCAAACAAGATTTTTTGGGACGTCAGAGTACATTTATTTACAGCTATTTGTGTATTTGGACAACAATTTCCCTTCATTGTCATGGACAATGATTATGTTTCTTGATGTATTTTGTGCGTGTAGATATTCTGTACCTAATTTTGTTTTATATCTTCTCACATGAACAGGTCAAGGAACTTGCTGAAAAGGCAAGGGGCGGAAAGCTTAAACCCAATGAATTCCAAGGCGGCACTTTCAGGTAGTATTTTATCCTCATTTTGGCAACTGTATTTCTCAATTATTAAAACATTAGAATTTTTCTTTTATGTGATGCCATGTTTCATGCATTCTTTATGCAGCATTTCAAACTTGGGGATGTTTCCGGTGGACCGTTTTTGTGCAATCATTAACCCTCCACAGGTTTCCCCTCTCTCTTGCATGCCTTTTTCATTAAGTTCTTTTGTTCATGTTGTAACTCTCCTTCTGCAATAGCCATGATTAAGATCTTGTTTGAAATCCTTTTTTGGGAACCATTAATTTTTAGTTTTCTTCAGTAGAAAATTTAGCTGTTTGTATCTTGTTGATGGACATTTTCCCTTTCTAGAACCACTTTTTTAGTTTCATCTGTTTTGAGATGCTGGAATTTGTAGCTTCTTATTAGTTTCAACTTTCAACTCACTTTTTCTTTTAGCTGTTTTCATACAACTTTACTGTCAAGGTAATTTTGTTCCATCATATCGGATTTAATTATTTCCAAAACACTTTTCAGCAAAGTTTACCCAAACAAATAGTCAAATACTGATTCTTATTATAACCAATTATTGAAAGAATATCATTTCTTCACTTGTCCAAACACTAATATTTTATAACCCTTCCCTGTCAGGCTGGCATACTTGCTGTTGGTAGGGGAAATAAAGTTGTTGAGCCTATTGTTGGCTCTGATGGTAACATTCTGAAATTAGACTAGTATATGCTATTAAAAATCAGTCGCTATTAAAACCTAATCATTCAACTCGTGCTCCAGGAATCGAAAAGCCCAGTGTTGTCACAAAAATGAATCTGACACTATCTGCTGATCATCGCGTGTTTGATGGAAAGGTTGGAGGTACGTTATGATGTGACTTATTTTAACACAATAAAATTATCATTTTCCATTTCTAAAATTGTCATAGGTTATATTTAACTGCATTAAGATTTTCACTTCTCATTGCCCTGGAATTCTTATATCTTGATACATTTTCACAGGGGAATTCCTTGCAGCTCTGAACTCAAACTTTAGTGATATTCAAAGGCTTCTTCTATGACACGGTTCTATTTATTTTTTTCCACACACAAAACAAGTCATACTTCATTGGATCTTAGGCGAATTGGTTGCCTAAGGTAGTTTGTGGCGAGATTGTCACTGGTTCAGAACATAAATCATCTTTAAAAAAATAAGCTTGAGCCTGTGCATTGGAACCACACACAGACTTACAACCTTACTTTTGATGTCCCATTTTATTTATTTATTTATATTCTTGTATAAGGTCCAAGTTGGAGAGGCCATTATAATGTTGGTATTGACCGCACGACCATTTTAACGAAACTGGGAAGCCAAATAATGATCAGAGATGATAAAACCTGTGAGCCATCCAAGAAGTTATGAGTGATGATGATAGAATAGAGGTGATGAAATGTATTAATGTATTAGAGAGACAGCTCAGTTTTATGCATCAGTGATCAGTAACAGAGATGATGCATCTTTTAGGACAACTCATGGAAGTTTATCAGGAAAAAGAATTACATTTTGTTTATAAATTACAAATTTGCATATGCCTCTGGTAAGGTAGCATGTGAAGTTCTCAGTGTCTGATAAAGAACAACGTGTCCTTATAATGTATTCATATGAGTATGGATGTTTTTACTTGGACTGTAATTTGCTGGTCTGGTCTGGTAATGTCTGGTTTCTTTGTATTTTTATAACTATCCAAGTCTGGTCTGAACTGGTCTGGTCTGGGACAAATTACAGTCCAAGTAAAAACATCCTATATGGCCAAAAATATGTACACGAGGATTAGAAATTGTGAGGGTGACAATGCTAGATTGGGCAAGATTTTCCTATAATGATTCATTCAACCAAGAATTAGGTGTTGTGCCCGATCCTATTTGTGTCTGGTCATAGATGAGCTACTTATGAATGGCCAAGATGGCGTCTTGGGTTTTATGCTGAAGTGCGGTGTTAGTGAAAGCGAAGAAAGGCTATGTGATAAGTTGGCGTGTGGAATTTATGTAGGAATATATCATACTAGATTACTAGCTCTATTATGAATATATCCATCCTAGCTCTACAAGTGAGGATGGATTTGTTAAACACGATTAATGATGGAAATATGCATGCTAAGACATTTATGCTCCAAGAGTCCAAGAGACTAAGACTATAAAAGGAGTTAGGCGAGCTAGAAAATTCACTGGAAGATGGTTGTTTGCTTGTAGCTAAGGCATGGACAAGGTTCAGAGTGCCTGGTCCAAAAAAATAGTGAGGACCAGGACTCAGATGTATATTTTCGGTTTCGGTTTAGACGCCAGGACGTTCTAGACTTCTTATTCGTCCCTGGTTTTTTTTTTTTTGGAAAGATTAATATTAATTGCTATTAATCAAATCATTGTTCAATACATCAATAATGAAAGACGGGGGAATCGAAAACCAAACACGACTTTCAGTCAAAGAACTCGCAGCCCTTGCCAACACATGAGCCGGCCGGTTCGCTAAACGTCTAACATGAGAACATGTGATGCTGACAAAACTAGTCATCATATCTCTAATATCTTCAGCCAAAACGCTCGAATAGGAACAGCCTGAGCCTTTCTGAATTTCATGGACAGCTAATAGAGAATCGGTTTCCAAGTCTATGAGGTCCCATTGTTGAGTTTTAATCCAGCTGAGTGCCTCCCTAACACTCATTAGCTCAGCTTCAAGAGGAGTAAACTGGCCACTACCTGCAATGCTGCCTCCTGCCAAGAAAGATCTGCAGCAGTCCCGAATCACCCAACCAAATCCACAATGCTCTCCCCCGGTCGAGGCATCAACATTGATTTTCCGCCGCCCTGCAACCAGTCTCTGCCACATTGAACTCCCACCAGCATTTTTATCCCCAAAAGAAACCACTGGGCGCTGCACCATAGCCCAGCCATCAACATATGCTCTCGTTTTTGCCATCACCAGCTTTCCTTCCATCTGCAAACTGTGCCAAACTCGCTGGTTTCTTTCTCCCCACAAACCCCAGCAACCTGCAATAAATCTTTCAATCTCTTCCTTCTTTAGCACTTTAAAGATTACTTCCAGCCATTCCATAAAACTAAGGGCCGAATGATCCACCCTCGTCTAGCTTGCATTCCCCCAAGCTTCTCTAGCTACACCGCAATGAATAAATAGATGAAGCAATGATTCAACACCCTCCTCCCTGCAAAGATCGCATCTGATGACGCATGCTACTCCCTTGTGTTTAAGGTTTTCCGTTGTGGGAAGGCATCCACTGCAAACCTGCCAAAAGAAAATTTTGATTTTAGGGGGTAAGTTAAAACGCCACATGGAAGTCCAGCCCGCCCACTCGGACGGAACTATTTCACCGGTAATAATTCGGTAACAACTCTTAACACTGAACCGTCCATCTTGTTCTCCTGTCCAAATCAATTTGTCTGCTACCACCCTTTTACTTAAGGGAATCTTTCTGATAAGAGCAGAATCCCTATCAACAAATAGATCCCTTATAATGTCTTCATCCCATCCAGCCCCATCTGGCATCATCAATCCAGCAACCGAAGCATCCTCCAATCCTTGCACACACTCAGACAACACCTTAGGATTAATCTGGTCCGGCAACCAAGGATCTCTCCAAATACTAATAGAACTCCCATCCCCAACTCGCCATCGAGCTCCCCTTTTAATGATATTCTGAACTTCAAGTAAGCTCCTCCAAATGAAGGAGGGATTATTTCCAAGCGAGGCCGAAAGATAGGAGCTATTAGGATAATAACGAGCCCGAAAAACCCTTCCTGCCAAAGAGTTAGGTTCCGTCAGTAACGTCCCTGGTTTATTTATTACTCTGTATTTTTGTATTTCTTAAAACCCTTTGTTTGCCTCTACCTTTTTTCACCCTTTAAATTGACCTCTCTACCCCTTTTAAATTGCTTGGTGATGCTTGTCATGTAAAAAATGAAATGGGACTGAAATGGGGGCATGGATCGGCCAGTCCTGGTCCGTAAAAGTAAGGCCCGAGGCCGATTTGTTTTATCTGACGTCCTGGCCTTAATCCCGGTCTGGAACTTTGATTTCCAATTTCAATTTAAAAAATCGGTTTATCCTGATTCGGATCCAGACTGGACCTTGTTCGCTCCTACTTGTAAGCTGTAGCCACCATTGAAGGGATTTGAAGATTTGCAGAAAAAACAAATGAGAAGTTGAGAACTGGTAGCACAGGTTCGGGCATGTAAGACTGCAAGTAGTTGAGAAGTAAGGACTGCTGTATGGTTGGTAGTTTTAAGTGCTCAAGACTTGCAGAGGATGAATGGTTAACAAAAAATGACTTGTAGCCTTGTAGCCATGTAGGGACATCATAGCTTTGAAACTAAATAATGGACATAAAAAATAAAAAAATAAAAATAAAAAACCAATTAAGATCTACTCCGAACAATTTTTCAAAATCTACATATAACCAAATCAGGTGTCAAGATTTGCATTTTTCTTCAAATCTTTATATAAACATGTATATTTGTTTTAACGTGAAAAAATACGTATTATCAATTAATTTAAAATGATTTGAGAATCATGACGAGATTTTTCCTAAAATATTACTCCGTACTAAAATAAAATGTATGAACTAAATTTGTGATGAGCATACTTGTATGGTCATTGCGATGTGAGGTTTGAACAACATAATCATAATAGCTAAAAGTTATTAAATTATTTTTATACACTATCCTCATGGGCGGAGCTAGAGGTGGGCCAACCTAGGCCCTGGCCCACCCCAAATTTTAAAAATACCTTAATTGTTAATGTAAAAAATTCCGATCTATTTTCTTTTTTTTTCAAAAATATTCTTTATACCGATCCAGTACGGCCCGGTGCTTTGGTTCCACCCCTGACTATCCTAATCTTGGTCATTTGTTAGGTATTATTACCGGTACGTTCAGGATAATAAGTACCAAAATACGTAGTAGTGAATACTATCTTAACTTCATGAACTTTTGACGCAAATTACTCAATCAAGATAGTCATTGTAATGATTAATGAGTATTAAGATCTCACAATGGGGTGTAGTTCAAAAGTTTTTTGAGGTCTCACAATGAGGTGCATTTCAAATGGAAAGTTGCGCGGTATGTTATCATTCTTACTCTCCATTAAAGGGAAAATTGTTAAATTTGTTCTATGTGCTATATGAGAAACGTCAAATGGTTGGAACTTGAAATTTTTATATTGCGGGAACGACCATATGATTTAATACATAATTCTTTTATAGATTCTAAATATTCTTAGATACATATTTAATACATATTTACTTTAGAACTTTTTTGGGAGGATCCATCTAGTCCCTCCATGTCTCCACTCTCCATCAATGCTTAAGCCCCATATCCTAATAATCACCCAATCAAACAAACAAAATTATTAAAAACACTCAAATTATTCCTTCAAAAAAAAACACTCAAATTATTAGTCAATCTTGTTGTATTGCAAATGTGAGCCTATATAGCTTCACATTTTTTTACGGCATATAAGTCATACAGCACTTCAATGGTCAATAGTCAATACATTTTTCTATTTCCAAATTCCAACCATTTGTGTTTGATTCTTTCAAAAAAAAACCATTTGTGTTTGGGCTTTGAACAAAAAAGATGAAGTTTTCAACGAGTGGGCATTGCATTAGTGCATTACGTACGTCGCGTGTAGGCCGGGATTAGCAATTAGATAATTACATTAATTACTTTTGCTATTTAAATTGGAGTTAGTTGTTGGTATAATTTGACCAATTACTCACTTCAGTTGTTTATGTGGATATGTTTGGTAATAATAAATGGACAAAGTAATTTTTGAAAAACATAGAAAATGACTACCTTAAGTACCAATTAGACTAACTTTATAAAAAAAAGTACCAATTAGACTATACAAATCTTTTTGAAAGTACCAATTGAATACAATCATAATTCATAATGCATGGACCAAATGGGACATCGACGTGTAACCATGCATGCTTTATTGTCGTTGTTGAAGTATACCAATTCAACACCACCTGCCGTTACAAAGTTGACCAAAACACGCACGGAAACTAGGTCAAAATAAGGTTGGTCAAAAACTCGATTAATTGGAGTAACTTTCATTAAGGATATTTCATACTCCATCAGCGCCACTATAAAGTCTATAATACGGCAATTGTAGTACACAAAAATGTGTACATAAATTATACATTGCTTGTGCACACAGATGACAGGGAAGATTTTGGCATCAAATATTGTATCTTTTCAAACGAATTGCTTGTGTAACCTTGCTAAATTGACACCACTAAAAAATGACTTCCTTCTCTCTGCTCCTTAATGAATTGCTTATAGTACTAATAAATTTCAGAAAATCGGGGGCATTTAATCGGGAAGCCATGTTTTGGATAACATATTTAACCCCCTAAAAACTTTATAGTTATGTTATACGGAGTATTGTTTTTTCATTGCAAATGTTCCAAATATCAAATATGATATTTGATAATATAAAAAAAAATGAAAAACTTTCTGATTTGGATGGGTATTAGCAACGTTAAATTGCTACCAAATTGACCCTTTAATGGGATATTCGAGGAAGAACCACACCATTACCAGATAAATTTTAGTGGTTAGTAAACATGACCAATCAGAAAATAGTGATTTTTTCGCCGTAGAAATAAGTTATTTGTGATTGTTTCTAATTTAAAAAAATGATTTTAAGTGATATTCGAGAAAATGATTAGTAATAGATGCTAATACTATTTGAGAAAAAAATGTTGTTGAAAAAAGTAAAGATTGATAGTGTTTAATAAAAAGTTTTTTTTTTAGGTAATAGAAAAAGTGAAAAAGCAATTTAAAATATTCGTTACCAGCTTTTAAATGCTTAATTTCAGAAGAAATCCTAGCTTGAAACCACTTATTTCAGCTTATTTTAAATGAAAAACACTTTTTAAGTTTTTAAACACTCCATTAATGTTACTCATTAAAATCAATCTAGACCAAAAAGAAACATATTGTTGCTCACTAAAATCAGTATGACCAAACCAGACAACAAAAAACCAGTAGAAGAGAACAAGTCCTTAGAAGCTTAAAGGCAGCAACTTTACAATGTTATTGAAACACTACAAATTGGGGAGCGAGAAAAATCTCTACTCATAAAAACTCAACCATTGAGCACACATATATGTACAGAGGTAAATAAGTATCTACCAAAACAATCCTTACCGAAGTGAA